AATAATAATAATAATAATAACAATAATAATAATAACAATAATAATAATAATAATAATAATAATAACAATAATAATAATAATAATAATAATAATAATAATAATAATAATAATAATAATAATAATAATAATAATAGCAACATCAACAATAATAACAACAACAGTAATAATAACAGCAATAATAATAATTATAATAACAATAATAATAGGAGCAATACAACGACAACAATAGAATTGCAATAAGAAATTTAATTACTCAGTCATAACTCAATTTATTCATAATGCTTCATAGAAGAAAAGTAAGACATTTCTGAATAGCTATTTTATTACGAAGGTTTGGCTCTAAAATCAATTTTTATTACCGATTATTATTATTACTGTTGTTGTTAGGTGTGTTCCACCAAGATTCACCTCAGTTTGATTCACACATCAATGAACAGGTCAAAAATTCCAGTAGGTTGAAATGACTGTTTTTCATTCTTTTAGAAATGCTTCGTTCGATAAATTCGTAAACATTTGTTGGCATTCAACGCTAATTTGCGATACCTTAATTTTGGATAATAATAATAAAATGTTTTATCATTATTATGACGAGTATTACTGTTGTTCTTGTTCAAAATTACGTAATAAAAATGATAATAATCAAAGCATTTTCAGTATCAACCATAATAAAAAGTAATCACAGTCACAAAAGCAACAGTACCTGCACTGTGAATGATACTAAGTATTGTTGAAATTCGCAACATTTATTCAACATGACAGCCAGTGATATTTTAAGTGTGATCATAACCTAATCGCTAGCAATCATGATAACTATTCAAATATTGATGTGGTATAATAACAAAATGAATGAGTGATAAAATGAAATAAACAAAATTTAGAATTTCTCGAATGCGTCACTTTTATTTGATCTGTCTTTGTCATTCGAGTACGAACTGTCAAACGCCGAAACGTCCAGATCTCGGTGCATTGCTGAATTGAGAGCCCGTTTTTGTTTTTTCGACATGAATAACATCTCGACTTGCTCCATCTGTAGGCCCTTTGTTTCGGGTATACATATATAAATGAATATTAAACTAGCGAATGTGATACCGGCATAGATGAAAAATGCACCTGAAAAACGACAGATCGAAATGTTGCAAAAACAAACAAATTTTAACCAATCAAATAAATGCATTTAAAAAATCCTCCGACGATAGTGATAGTGAAAGATATCGGTAATAATATCGGGTTCGTTTGCAACCTAGGATTCAACGATAAGGAAGGAGGCAGAAAAATATTGCGAGAAGATATGAGAGATCAAGATAGAAAAAGAATGGAAAACAAAAAGAATGCATAAATTGACCGTATTTGGTGGCCGCCTCAGAAAGCGATAAGAATGTAAGTGAAATAATCAAATTTCCAGTCCAATTGGATGCTGTCGAAAGACTGCAACCTGTGCTGCGGGCCCATAATGGGTAGAATTCAGCGTTTAAAACCCACGGAAGCGGTGCAAAACCTTAAAAATTTGTCACATGAAATTCAACCAAATCTCTTCAATTTTTATCTCCAAACAGCACATTTTACATTAATAATGGTAATAATAATAGTATTAATAACATCAAATGCTAAAAATACCGATTGCGAAGAAGACCAGATATATAACCATAATGATAATTGGCATCAGGGTGTAGTTAGTCTCACAGAATTCTATTTCAAATTTAAATTTCGTCGCATTAAAACCACTTGCACACGTTCCAATTTCAGTCGAATCGCCTGATTTCGCAAGTGGTAAACATGAACTGCAAATTTGTTCAATTATTAGGAATATTTTGATAATATCACTTAATAATAGTAACCACAACAAAAAATAATGAATGACCGACCCCTTTTGCTGAAAATCGCCCATGTGACAAAAAGCACACCCATGTGACGTGACACAATAATCGCAATTCCTGGAACAATGATGTAACTGAACGACAAATGTGACAACAAAAAAACATTCCATTTCACGTTCAGCTCAAGTTTCAACATGCAGTTTGTATGTCAACTGCTTTTATTTTGCTCTTTGGCTTATCCACTGAAAATTTTTTTTGTGCCAAAGAAATAAGCGAAGCAAAAACAATGTGAAAAACAATAGCAAAAAATAAACGAACGAAAGTTGATCACAACCAAATAATTCGGGTTTTGATGAGATTCGAGTCAATAATGGATCTGGAATTGTTTCTGCAACATTTCGATTAATCAAAAGAAATGCGACACCCATCAGAATCAACGCGAACATTACGCCGCATGCAGAAACCAGCAGCAGAACTCGACGCCCGAAACGCTCTATACAGACCATCGGAATGAAAGTGGCTCCGAAGTTGACGGCTGCAAATCATATCAATATCAAATACAGGCGATAGCAAACCGACAAGAAATTTCAATAGTAAAAATTAATAATAGAAAACAATAATAACGCCAGTAATGAATAATAATAATAATAACAATAATAATAATAGCAATAATAATAAAAATAACAAAGGTAACAAATAGTAACAAAATGAGAAGAGAAAAGTGCGATATCACCAGTGATTCCCAACGAAATCCATATAGTTGTGTGAGGGTCAGACACACCGGCCGACGTGATGATCGTACTCGTATAGTACCTACGAACGGAAATAGAATATCGCAATTACGTTCAAATTCATCCTTCCAAAAAAGTCTTTTCTTGAAGAAACAAAAGAATCTCGAAAGGAAGATTAGATTTTGCCACTGAATGAAAAGTGAAATAATCAACGAACATAATTGTATTGATGGCCGCAAACTGCTGAAAGAATTGAAGAAGGCAACCGATTACCATTGCTTTCCGAACATGTGGAGTTTGCAAAATGCGAGATATGATGAATTGATCTAAGAAAAAGTAGGTGATAATGGAAAAAATTTGGTTGAGGAGGGCGAAAAAAAAATATATGGAAAATTCTCTAAGGCAAGAGCAGTGAAAGAAGAAATGATTACCGCCAACTAATTGTTTTGACTTTTTTTCCTCATCATCTGCTTGCTTGATTTCTTCCATCTCATATTCCACCCAATCTTTGCTACCAGCATAAATTTTTTTCAGTACCTAAAAGACTACTTTATGATTGTGTTCATTTCGAATGCGTTTACTAACAAAAATGCTCCGATCTCTTATCGTTAGATCAAAGGCTCGTTAATCAACTGTCCAGTTTTTTCTTTCATGAAAATCCGTCGCATACGACCATACATTTCAGATATTTCATAAGCTCGTAGTGATTGGAAATTTAGCTTCCTGAACCATCCTATTTAGATTACATGTTCTTTCGTTGTTGGAGTTTCATTCGAAATTAGAACAAAACTTTTTGTTGAAGTCGATGTGTTGTGAATATTAATGAATTAAGAAATTCAAAACCGGGTGCTTCCATCAAAAAGAGCACTCAAACCTCTTCACATTTAGCAAGTTCTCCTCGTCCATAGAGAAATCGAGGACTTTCGGGAAGAAAGAAGAATCCAATAAATTGAATCAACGCTGGAATTGATGCAAAACCGAGCATCAAACGCCATCCCACATAGACACCGTTTATATACGAAAACGCACCTATAATTATCGATGACTGTTTTAATCATGTGAACAATCAGAATATGAAAGCAACACCGACAGCAAAATCAAAAACAATCATGTTCGTAAGCACTACCGCTAAAAATTGCTATCTTTTTAGAATAGTTGTTAGTTATTTATATCATTATTTGCCGTTGTTGTTGTCAAAACAATAACGATAAAAACTAAGTAATAAACAGAAAATAATAATAAACATTACTATTACTATCAAACCATTGGTATACTCAAATATATAATAAAGAAAGAGATCACCAGAGAATAAATTGGCGCACATTAAGCCAAAAGTGATCATCAGTTGAAATGCAGTTAGCAATAGTCCGCGGATACTAGCCGGTGATGCTTCACCAACATAGACAGGTACGATCAACGAGGCAAAACCTTTAACTCGCAAACATGAACATAATTTCACGACTGATAACTTTTCCTTGTCGACTTTTTTTGGTTTTGCTCATGAAAATTTGTTATTTTCGAGACTCTTTTCAATCGAAACAAACAAATACGCGGTAAAAATCGCGAAACATCTCCAAAAAAAACAAATATAAAAACCATTTTTACGATGGGTATTCTTACCAATTGCAATACCGAGGAGAATTCGACCGACTAGAAGACAGATCTTCTCGGTTGCTGCTGCGCAAACGATACCACCGATCGTGAAAACGCCACTCGAACTGATCACCACTAATTTTCGACCGAAACGATCCGAGGCTGGGCCAGCAGTTAATGCTCCAACGATTGCCATTCCTGAATAAGCGGTAACGAAAGTTGATGACTCGATATCGACTTAGCCATTTTTCGAAGAATCTTTATTTCTAAATTACATACTGTCATTTGGAACATTCACTCTGATCGACTATTCTGGTTCACAAATAATTCATATCAGTATCAAAATATAGTATTTAGTTTGACTCGAGCAACAAGAGCAATGCAAGAATTCGCGATAAAACAACAAATTCATCAATGATTTTTTTCCAAAGAGTGAGATTTCCATGGAAGTTCCAAAGAGTTTGAGGGAAATAAGGCAAATTCTTCACAAAGGGCTGTTTCCATCCTGTCGGAAAAAAAAGATTAGGACTTCGATCGCCTTTATTATTGCCAATGAACTGACAAAGTAATCATCAGTCAATCAGCTGCAATAACCTGGTGTAATTGCGACGATCAATTGTTTCCAGAGAGGGTTCATCGGCTGAATGCCCGGATAATCGGGTAGATAGAGCATAGCGGCCGATATCACACCGGTATCGTAACCAAATAAGAAGCCGCCGATAGCGGCCATAAAACACAGTGAATATACGTAAAAGCCGTATCTGGGTGGTGTGGCTGGTCGAAGCGATGATAAAGGCGATGAGCTGGTTGTTGTTGCGACTCCAATAGCCATCTTTACAATTCGATTGTGATTCTACAAAGACAAGTGCTTATTACAAACATAGAGAAGGAATCCGATAGATTTTTTCCCTTCAGTAGCTCCGAAAGAGGCAAATTGGTTGGCTTCCGTTTGTGGTCATCGACACAACTTTAGTTAGGTTCATATTTGTTAGTAGCTCGAGAAATGAATAAAATAAATAATAGTTATATTGAGATAATGACATCACTTAGATTCCAGCAAACTTGTGGATTTGGTAACTATAAAAATGCGGAAAAGTATCTCAAAACTATAGTTCAGAAATATGGAATTTTTCAAAGTGACCATCAAAGATTTTCTCTTCATTCTCATCTTTTATCCATTCCAAATATTCTCGCACAAAGTCTAGTCATTTATATTCAGATCAAGAGCGAAAGATGGAATCTTCACGTGGCAATGAAAATGAGTCTAATAATTGAGTTAGTCTAAGTATCATATATTTCTGAACTACAGTCAAAGCACTTTTTTTGATCCACTTGTCTCCGAATCTTATTGGACAGGTATATTTCAGAATCCTGAGAAGTTCGTCAAGGATTAAATTTCCGTCAAAATGCAACAGCAGCTAACGATTGGGAGGAAGAAATTTTTCTCTGTTTTGTTCAGGATCAGTGATTATTACTCTCTTTATTCAGATCATTACTATTATTGTTCCGATTGAATCACTGATTGTAATCGTTGATGAACAATGTGAAATCAAATTTCTTCATCAGGAAATAAAATTCTCATATTCCCAGCTACAAACGATTCAATACGAGAATTTTAAAACTATCTTCAAATGTTAAGTTGATGCTCTCTTTCGATCAAATGCTGTGACTAAAGTTAAAGTCAATTAGGCATGCAGAAAATCGAGATTTCTAACAATTGGACGTTCAACAAAATGAGAGAAAATTTTCCAAACTAAAACGTTGCAAACCAGTCCAAGTCAAGCCAAACTATTAAGACGAGGAGGCGTCTTCAAGGAAAGAATCAAGTGCTGAGACAGAGCGATTAAAAAAAACCAATTCGAGATGATCGTCATTGGGCCGCCTTCTTGCCCACAGTTTCACTGACAGAATGATTCTGTTGAGTCTACCGTGCCTTCACTCATTCCTTTTCTTCACATACATATTTATGAGTCAGCCATAATCATGCATTCGATTTATTGCACTATTATCAAGAAACGAGTAAATTGGTAAGTTATCTATCTAGGTAATTCATGCTGTTGTTGTGGTTTGTTTAATGATTGCGATATTATCATCATATACATCCTCATGCGTTTTGACAGCAATTGCTAATATACAATAGCGTTTGCAAATTCCAGTGATAATTATAAAGAAAACATACACACTCTGGAGTATCATTTTTGACCACATTTGCTCAATTTTTATGCCGTATTTTTCATCGATATATATATATATATGAATACAATGCCACAATAGCATCCATCATTGGTTAATGGGTACCATTTCTGCATTTCATTATGATCCAGTACTATCGATACTAACCATACACACGAACATATTCATCCTGCTGCTTGCCTTGTTGAAAGTAAAATGGTCGATCTAAAAATGATAACTTCCACTTAGGATTAGAACAATCACACATTTACACAATCACTTCAGCATGACAATTTTCAAAAATTTTAGAATCTTTCAGTTTTGAAGTATTTCTCTTCGAAACAATTTCTCGTGTACCACAAAAGTTATCTGATCTTTTGAAGCAGAGCAACTTCCGACCAAATGAACGCAGCTCCGGGTGCTGTTCTTTCAACTTCGCTTATTCCTTTTCTTCACATATATACTTATGAGATGTTAAGTCAGAAAACTTTCAGAAAATTTCATTGGGAAATTGCAGGAAGAATTAACGAGTATATTTGTTGGATGAATGAGCAACAAGAAAATCGGACAGTATGAACGAACATGACTGCGAAAATTTGTGTCGAAAAAAACAGATACACATGAGACGGTAATGTTTGCACTGTCTGTGATGATTTTTTTGCAGAGACATTCGTTGAAATAGCGATAGAATGTGAAAACAAAGCTGCATCTTGTAATGATTCTTAGCTGCATTTGCGCATAATTAACGTACCTTAGGAATGCAGTAATGTTCGAAATGCTTCAAGAGTTTGCACAAACATAATTCAGCTGAACTGATAACGTTTCATGCTGACTTTTATTGATCTGATTCTATTTGCATTGAAAGTCGGCTGATAATTTTCATATTGCATCATCATTATCATTTCGAATACGATCCAGCGTGCATTCAATAATATATTCAACCAGCCAGCCAATCATTCACCCATCCATGCATATTTCCGTGTTTTCATGTACTTTTTATCAACGATCGCTGGCTAAAACGTGACTTTTGAAGGTTCTCTGAACTCAACTCAACTTCTCACATTTAGAAATTTGACATTATCATAGCATATGGAATAATACATTTACAATGCATTATTCCATATGCTATCATGTTCTATTATTATTATTGTTACTGCTATTATTATCATAATTATAATTATTACAATTTTTACAATAATAATTGCAATGATAACAATAATTATTACTATTATAATTACTACTATTTAGACTATTATTATGTTCATTATTATTGACATTTTTTAAATTATTGTTATTATTATTATTGTTATTATTATCATTAACAACAGCAATCATAATAGATAAAGAAATGCATAATTTTGTATCAAATTCATTTACCATGCACTGGCTTTCTGCTGGGCTAGCCAAAAGATGCGCTAGGCTGTGCAGAGACGATACTCCAGATTTCAAGCAACATTCTTCCAACAAACACTTCAGATTTCTCATGGATCACAAATCTGCAAGGTTGATCCATCGTCTATTCAACATGGCTTAAATACATGCGTATAAAACACAGTCCTTCATTCAGGACTGTTAATTCTGCCAAATTCGAACGTAACTCCAACATATCAATGCGGATATCCATGGATATTGACTCGCATTTCCGACATTTTCGATGTGATTTACGAGGATATCCACTCGACGTTGATGCGCATACATATGAGCTTTTCTCAGGCATTCCAATTCAATCGATGACAACAACCAATCATATTGTTTTTCGCAACCTGATCGAACTAGAAATGCTTGATCTGCCATTAAAGCAAGGAATGTCAATGAATCAATCACCCATTGGTCGAGTATCTTGTCTCACTTTCGTCACATAATAATAAGTTGATAGGTTGGTATTTCAAGAATTTGTTGGTACTTTTGTCATATAATCGCCTTCCACTCTGTGGAATCGTTTCATGTATAAACTGTGCATTAATAGTGAATATTGTTTTATATTTGATTAACGCATCATGCCACAGAATAAGCATGGTGATAAGAATAGCCACATTTTCAAATATAACACCAATAATAATAACATAATATGTAGTGATAATAATAAGAAATAATACTGACGAGTAATAATAAAACAATAAAAATTCGATTATCAACTGTCAATAATCAACATAATAAAATTTATTTCGCTTATCACCATCATTTCTTCCCCAATAAAATCATCCATAAAATTCACTAAATGTTTGTTCTGTGGTACCAATTCCCTTACCCAACGTGTTTTTTGCACGTTTTGGTTGGTAAATGAAAAGAATATCGCATGATTGAGAAAGATGAAATAAAAAGTATTCAATTTTTATCGCTAATGTTATTATTGGTTGTAGAAAAAGCAATTATTATCATTAGTTTACCTCTATTACAATTGTAATCTGCTGCTTTTATTGTTTTTTACTCCATTCATCATACATCGAATGTAAAAATGCCTTCAACTGAAAGTTTCTGACGCACATCTCACAACACATGTATATTTATTTGTCGTTATTCACGACGAAAAATACAATCAAATACTATCTACTTACGTCAGTAAAATACAATCAAATCAAACATATATGTTTCACAATATAATATGACACACAACATTATTATAAAACATGAAAATTGGTAAGTAAACTAAAAGAACAAAAAAATAAAAGAGAAAGATAATTTTTATGAAAGAAAAAAGGTGAGTTGAAAGTAGCATAAGTGAGATAAGTAGCATAAGTGAGAAAGTAGCATAAGTGAGTTCGGTAAAATATCTAAAAAATTACGCATATACATATATAGTTAAAATGATTCCATTTGTTTACAACTCACTTGATTTCTTCGCTAATATATGAAAATATTTACTTGAATATCATGCAATGCAATATTAATATGTATACTTTTACATGTTAAAATATAATTTGAGTTAGCATGGTGACGTGATAATAATCATAATAAAAGCAATGATAACAATAAAAATAATAATAATAGTAGTATCGACTTCGATACAAAAAAAACGTACGATAATGAAGGATTGACTGTGCTCGCAGGAATGTCAAACCTATGACAACAATTAGATACATGATGTGATTGATAAGAACCGGGTTTGAATTCGAATAAATCAGTTAATTTCCTTGTTCTCTAATTCATAATTGGAGTGCAAAAAAAGAATCACATCTGTAACCGTATTTCAAGCGGATGACCATTCTTTCTCTAGCAAAAACGATTGAAATCTATTCGGTTGTGGTAGCTGATAGAATATTATCACTGGATTTTGATGAGGACGTTGAATGACGAATTTTTTCCACATTCAATATTTGCTCATCAACGGCTGGTTGTTTTTCCGTTGCTTTTGTGTCATCATCAGTGAATCCGGCATTGGTCTGGCTTAACATTTCAAGTGTTTTCTTTCGTTCTGCTGCTATATGTGCGTTCGCTTCTTCGGCAATCTTGAGACGTTCCGATTCGGACATAAACAGCAACTCTACCTGTTCAATAGGTAGACCTTTCGTTTCAGGTATAAAGAAGTAGATGAAGACGATACCGACCACTGTGATACCGGCGTAGATAAAGAATGCACCTGAAGTGATACACAAATCATCTGCGTGCTAATCCACTTCCAAGATGCCTAAATTGTGTTTCACGGCAACAACTTTCAACGGCTATCTGTTTGAAGCGAATACTGCCATCAAAAAGAAGGATATTAGGTGGCGGCAAGAGGGTGGTTATATCGGATTAAACAACAAACCAGACTTTTGCATATATTGCTTAGCTCGAATTGGAATTCTTAAAAAATAACCGCGAACTGCTCATGGAACAGAAAATAGTTGAAAGTAGAAACAAAAGATGAAAGTGCAGAAAAAAGAGCAAAAGTTGACCGTATTTTGTGACCGCTTCGCTGAGTGTTAAGAACGTCAACGAGATAATCAAATTTGCGATCCAATTGCACGCCGTCGATAACGCGCAGCCAGTGCCACGAGCCCACAACGGGTAGAATTCTGCGTTCAGCACCCATGGTAACGGTGCATAACCTGGATTTTTCTCCTATTCTCATCAGAAATGACGAATTGTTTCGTGCTTACATAAAAGATGATCATTTGCGGAAAAAAATATTCGCAAAAATTCTCGAAAAAAAAAATCCACAAATTGGAAGACAAACGAACGATTCACACGAAAATTTCCAACTATCCAGCTTCATATCCGAAATCATGCGAAAGGGTACAACAAATTAAATGTTTTTCTCATCATTTTTTTAATATGTGTAAATTTTCCATCAAAATCGCATTGATTCCCATAAAAAAGATGTTATATACAGACAAATTAACAAGAAAATAACTAAACAAATGAATGAATGAATAACCCATTGAGAAGAATCCCAAGTAAATGACCATAACAACAATTGGCATAACCGTGAATTTCGACTCACACGAGTCACTCTCCCAAACGTACTTTGTGTCGTTGACGGCATTCTTACAATCTCCGATCACAGAATTTTCGGGCGAATCCAAATCAAATGGTTCACATAATCTACAGTTGAATTCAAATTGTATCGCAATCAATTATTTCCCCCACAAATCCTTCATGTCTCTAATTTAATCACAGTTCAGTCATTTCAACGACTTCCACTCTTCTTAAAAGGAAACTATTGTTTCGAGCAAAATTTTCCCTCGCACACGGAAAATTTCATTCAAAGCAAGACAAAATAACGAGTGATTTTAATGACTGAACAATTTATTGCTTCGTTCAAACATTTAGTTATGTGAAGTATAATAACATAAAATAAAGTGGTATATCAATGTCACTGATATTATCATCATTGTGATCATAACAATAATTACTGCTGATACTAACGAAATGAATGCTTACCCACTGCGATGAACTGACGCGTTTCGGCAGAATCCACAATGGCTCGATGTAACACAAAAATCGCAATTGCTGCAATTTCAAGCGAAACAGTAAATTTCAGCATGCAATGTCACAATTCCATGCTCATCAAAATGAACTGATCAGTAGACGAACAAATTAATTAACTGATCAGTTAAAGAGAAAAGAAAGAAGAAAAATAAACTCACGTCATATCACTGCACATTGTCGCGTAGGGACTTGTGCTATTTGCTGGCACTTGCCACCGGTTCGTTTTGGCTGAGTCTTTATTGATGAGTATGAAAGCGATACCCATTAAAATCAACGCAAGTATAACACCAGCAACAGAGATCAGCAACAGAACACGTCGACCGAATTTCTCAATTGTCGTTATTGGTATAAATGTTGCAGCAAAGTTGACAACTGAAAGAGTTCTGTTTTCTTCGCTCAATAGAAATTCATCGAATTTCATCATGAAGTCAAAACTCATCATTCATAAAATTCACAAACTCCAACTCATAAAATTACGAAAAACGAATTCAAACTTCATTCAACAACATCGTAGTGTAGAGAAAGAAAAGGAAAGCTTTCATAATCCCAAAATGTTTGTTAATGTGTTGATCTGAGCAACTCAAGATAACGAATGAGGATAACGATTCAACAATTCATTAGAATGTTAAGTTATGTTAAACAATATAAAATAAATGAAGTGCAAAAAAAATTCTTTTTTTCCTTACATGAAATTGCTAGTGAGATCCAAATTGTAACGTGCTCATCTCGAATACCCGCAGCCGTAATAATATGACTTGTGTAGTAGCTGAAAACAAGAAGCTGCAAATGGAGTCGAATCAATTCAATTAATCTAATAGCGTAATTATATTTCATTATTTATTATTATTTATTATTACTGTTATTATTATTGTTATTATTATTATTATTATCATTATTATTATTACATTATCACATCGCATTTTTCACTATCAGTTGTGACTGTTTTGATTTGTTAATGCATAACTTCCTCCCTTCAAAACCAATTTACTGGCTAATATGGAAAACCAGCCGTATGCCCACCTGCACGATCGTCAAATCAACAATCGAAATTAGAACTTCATGTGGATGGAAGATTCCGAGCGCTAATGTGTATGAAAGGATGCCAAACAACGAACAAGGTAATAACAAACAAGTATAAACTCGTAGTGAATTATTGTAACTGCTGATTAAAGGATTACATAAATGAAGAAAATGCATCACGACTTCAGAAACTACGATCGAATACAACTAACACAATCGTATTGACACCAGCGAACTGCTGGAAAAATTGAAGGATACAACCGATCAGTAAGGCTTTGAGTACGTGTGGTGTTTGAAATATACGTACGATTGCGAGTTTACCTGAGAAAACAGTTAGTTCTCTTAACATTCTAAGCTTGCATCAGTTTATTCATAGATTCGTTTAGTCCAGCAAAAAAGCTTCTAATCCACATTTTCAAATTCGTAAATCAGTTCAAGAGCATTATTGAGATTCATTTGAAATGTACGCTGAAAAAGAGCTCGCATACGCGTATATGATGGCTCGACTAGAATTTGTTGAAAATTTACAGAAGAAAAAAAACTTGATAACGCGATCTCAATTCCATACAATAGTATAACATAAATGAACTAACAAAAAACAACACAATGAAATGAACAAAAAACAACAAAAACAATGAATAAGTGAACAAATAAGCAAATAACGACAAGCAAACAACCGAACAAACAAGGAAACCAATAAACAAACGGTAACAATGAGTAATTGGTGAACATCTACCTCCGAGAAGTTCTTGTGCTTTTCGCTCCTCACGATCTGCGGCTCGAATTTCCTCCATCTCATAAATCACCCATTCAGCGTTTCCGCCGTAAATTTTATTCAGCACCTCAAAACAAATCATATTTGTGCGAAAATAAGAAAATTCCTGATCGGAAAGTATCTCTACTTCATATCTTTCAGAACGATCTTTCCGTCAGAAAAATTGTCCTTCTTTATCGAACAATCGAATATCTTTCCTTCAGAGGAATTATCGAAAAATGAGAAAGGTCAGAAGTTCCCAACCACTGAAATTTTACAGAATTTTTAAGAAAGAACAATCTCAAATTTTCGAAAACATCGCATTATTTTTGTTCTACAAAGTCCCTTGATCTTCTCTATATCCGTTCTTATGTACTAGCTATGAAAATCCTTGGGAGTTTATGAAACGACCACCCAGCTGCTAACTAATGCGAAAACTGGATAGGCATTAATCCGATATACTAATAATTATTCTAAATACTTTGACACCGTTCATGTTGCGAATGCATATAGTTTTTGCAAGTATTATATAATCATTCCCGTTATTACTATTATTTTTTTTTTATCACTAATATTATTGTTGTCACTATTACTATGATATTGGTACACCACTCGGTTTCGAGCAAAACTTTCCTCCGCGAANTTCGCGGAGGAAAGTTTTGCTCGAAACCGAGTGGTGTACCAATATCATTAATGTTGTGAGCCTGAGCCAGGCTATGATCCGGCTTGTATCTATTATCCAATTATCTGTTATTATTCACTATGATTATTATCATTGTCATCACTATTATGTTTTGTAAGAATTGAGAAAACGTTGCACAATAGATGAATATTTATGTCAATTCTTCATTGCTGACGGAATCTCATTGAGAGAAATTCTGAAGTTTCTGCTGTAAAAGTCAAAAAATGGATAGCACGAAAAAATTCTCATGAGAAAATATCACTGCGTGAATTGTTTCATTTCTGCAAAAAATATCGAAAAATGAATGCTCATTTGTTGCAACTAGTCAATGCAAGAGCGACTCAACATCAGATTCATAAAAATCCGATTATGAAGTAAAAAGAAAAACGAAAAAACTCTCGCAATTTTCACGTAGCATTTCCATAAAGCACAAAGTACTATGCTGATATCGTCCTTATCTTATCAAACCACGACTTCTTTATTTAGCACACCCTTGAACATTGCACGATAAGTCGTCTAATAATTGATAGCAGGCATTTCTTTTAAATTATAGTCAGGCGCAGAAGAAATTGCTGAAAATTCTCAATTTTCTCACAGTTTTCGGATTTTTCATAAAAACGAATAATTCTATTTATTAGACATCTTCATTTCATTTGATCGACTTTTTTGGTTAATTTGTTGTTTCCTTATCATCACAGTCATGATCATCATCATGATGAAGATTTAAAAAATCAAAACAAATCGATTCGAAGCGCATAGATTTCCGGCTAGCCTTGCAAAGCACCTCTCATTTTCCCCTCCCCCCCCCCTCCCACCTCCTACCTTACCTCAACACCTTACAAAGATATCAACCATTACCCGTCGTGCTTCATCTGAACGTCCTCGTTTGAATAAAAACCTCGGCGTTTCGGGCAAGAAAAAGAATCCAATGAATTGAATCAAAGATGGCACTGAAGCAAAAGCAAACATCAATCGCCATCCCACCCTCGTCGGGTCAATATACGAAAAGGCTCCTGAAAATGAGAAGTGAGAAAGGTATCATCACTCAAAAATCTGTTCCATCAAAATGGCTCTTTACATTCGGAAAATTTCCAAACAGGTACTATTTTTCTTTTCTCATTCATCACTTTCGAATCATATAGCTTGCCGTTGTCTATTATCAAACAAAATTGCATAAAAATATGAATATTCATTTGAAAAACAATAAAACTGAAACGTTGAATTGTGCATTCATATCTTAATTTATTCGTACTCCTTATCAATTTTTCTGTTCAGTAGTTCTCATTGATCATTCACTTATTTACTTAAACCTAAATAAATAAAGATTTCAAACAAAGTACGAATAATATCGGCATTTAATCGCAACGGCAACACCAATATCGCACTATTTTAAGTTTCTTTTCCATTTCATCTTCCTCGTAGCTCATACAAACTTTATCATTATCGTATTATGAAGCAAGCTTTGCAATACCATGCGATTCATTCTCATTCAAAAAAATTGATACATCATTTGATCACGAATAAAACAATCCCCAGCAAGCGGGACCAAACCCGCGACGCATCAATTTCTAATCGAGTGTTCTATGTGTGAAATGTCGCAGAGACGGATCATTCAGCTTTCACCGATTGCTTCTATTGAGCTGGCAATGGCTACGACTTGGCTTGTACCTAATTACCGAGCCTGAGCCACCTTGTATCTAATTATCTACTAAGGTTATTTAGTTAAGTCTATTCATTCAAATAACTTGTGATGATACTACTAATAATAATATTATGATGATGATAAATCTGCGTAAATTTCAAATATTTTCATCATTTACGTGTGAAATCCGAACAAAAGCACGTTCAGTGCATACCGCGTTCGGTAACTAGGTACAAGCCAATGCATAGGCATTCCAACAAGACAACAATTGATGCATAAACAACCAGCAAAGATTATAGTCGAAACATTAAGTACATAAACACGAAATGTAAACAAACAAAAACATACCTGCAAAAAGATTTGCAGCCATTAGACCAAAAGTGATCATTAATTGAAAAGCTGTCACCAAACGTCCTCGAATGTTTGCAGGTGATGCTTCACCCACATAAATTGGAACAATCATTGATGCGAATCCTAAAAAATATCTCGACAAATTAATAGATTTACAGATTGACGCGGAGACAGTTTAGCAGAAAGATGGATTTGATCGAATTGTAATCATCGAGGCTACACTGTGCACCTCAACGTGCATGAAGGCGAGGCGTGATCAGGTGATACGGCGAACCGTAATACAAAAAAAAATAAAATGAACCAATTCCCAGTCCAAGCAGAATTCGGCCAACAAGAAGTGTGACTTTTTCGGGTGCTGCTGCGCAAACAATCCCACCGATTGTAAATACAAGGCTGGATAATATTATTACTGGTCGACGCCCGAAGCGATCCGATGCTGGACCGGCTAATACTGCGCCAATCACGGCCATTCCTAATAACCGAATAAATTAAAAATCAAATTACATTAGGTCAGCAACAAGCTATAATGTGGTAGGTCATCAAGGATTTTTTTCGATTAAAGGTCGATAGATAGTTTTTTTGTTCGAAAAAAGCCTGCTGCAAAATAAATGACATGCGTGCAAAATATTCAATTGTTCAAAATCGGTCTTTGAACTCATAGGGATGATAATGAGAAGCAACTGGAAAAATCAAAGGGAAAGTGCGTAAGTAAATAAAGAAATGAATAATGTGACCTGGTGTTAAGCTGACAATTAATTCCTTCCATATTGAATCCATCGGTTTCAAGCCGTCCGCTCTGGGCAAATAGAGCATCGCACCCGATACAATGCCAGTATCATAGCCGAACAAAAAGCCGCCAATAACGGCCATTGAACAAAGTCCGTAAACGAAAATGCCCAACGACGGACTTTCCGTTGGTTCCACTACTCCGGTCGGTCTTCTCGTCTTCAAAACGATATAGGCTATTTATCATAGAAGAAAAAGACGAAGATACTCATAGTACAAGTTGCTGGAATTTTCAGAATTTTCTCTACGGCGAAACTCTCCATGTAAATTTTAAAAATCGGGAAATCTTATCGAAGAAAAAATTTTAGTTTAAATTGATCAACCATGAAAAACTTCAACAAGTAGTGATGATGCGAAAGAAATTGTTCGATGAATAGATTCTCGGGAAAGAAACCGATTTTCGGCGTTTTCCACCGACGATAATTGACAGTCTTTGTTCACTCATCTTGAGAGTATGGCTTTGGAACACCACTAGTTGTTGCGCTCGATGTTATCGATTCAGTATTCGAGCAGAAGATTTAAACGGAATTGTTGTCGTATTGCTATACTTTAGGTAATATTCTGAAAATTAAACTTCTTGAGAGAGCTTCCATCGAGATTTCATCAAATCAGACGAAACTTGAGATTCATTCAAAGTGGCCGACTGAAAATCGGCGACAGCGGGCATGAAATCGCTTTGTACTGTTCCACGTGATTACGAATAGGCATGATGGTGAGGGGACAGGTCTGTCATTATTCAATCATCCATTAACTTCATAAAAATAATGATGACGCTAAAATGACAGCGAATTGGATTACAGGGTGGATATAAAGTGAATGGAAGAATTAATCAGAAATGGACTGAATAAGGAAGCATGAGTAACTAAAAACGATCACTGCCGAATGGAACTGAATATAAATGAAGACGAACAGATTAATGACGCGTTATGAACATCTGAATTATCACGTATTATTGAAGTCAACTTTATTACGTTTACATTTGTGTACGCCTTAATATTCTCATTCACTCATATTTTTCTGTTCACATATTACAAATTTTTCTGTTCATACAATGAAATAATCGAATAAAAACCAATTGTTGAATCACCTCAAATAAAATTTTACTGTCAATTTGGTGTTCGGAAGGCAGAAGAAACTAAGTAGATGCTTGATTGCTGAAACAGTGAAATGATATGATACGGTGTGAATGTCGTTTTGCTGATCACTCTTATCATCATTCATTAATATTTATAAACGAAATGTCTATCGAAAGGTAGTTCATAAATTGAACGATCAGCAACTACTTATCTCTTCGTCTGTATTTCATGATCGCACCCATCCATAAATTTATCTACCTAATTTTCTACAACCATGTCAATAATTGATATGATCGTATCTTATCAGTCACTGGTTACGACTTCTGATTCTTGTTTTTTTATTCCCTCGGTTCCATCATCTTGTCTGTTTCTGTACTTATCTACTTTTGTGCATGATCATATCACGATTATCTGTCTAACTATTCCTCAATTGATCCCAATTATTATTCCGGTGATATCAAGCAAAGAACAAAAAACTGCTATTCAAACAAACGTCTTCATTCGATCACATCACCTATCTCTTGATAAAGCATCAAAAAACGATTCATAATTACCTCGGCTAATCTCGAATCACATGATTTTTATGAGCATCCTTCCTGATTTGCTGCTATTTATTCTCTTAAAAAACCCCTCGCTATCTGAACAAAACTATATCGTTGACTACTGCTAAATATCATCGATAAACCTACTTTTTCTAATCCGCTACCTCGTGCTAAATAATATATGTATTACATTTAATATACTTCGCAATGAAACAGTAGACTAATGATAATGGTTCATCAAAAGTATGTTCTTCTGATGACAATACCCACTAGAACAAAAGAATATTCAATCAATTAGTCAAAAATATGAGGTGGTGTTTGATGAGCAAAAACATCAAATGAACTTGCTCATATCGTCCTCACCCAAATCAGTCCATTCCGTTGTGATTAGATTGCAACTTATTTTGATAGTTCGTATTTTCTGATCATCTTAAGGATACCGAACCGAGTCAGGCAGAATCTCTTGTGATTGCTCTCCGACTGTAGAGTTATTAAGAAACTTTTTTATCTTTATCAGTTCACAAGTTGCATGCAGTATTAACACAGTAATATCACAACTGCCATCAGCATAATAATATCATCATCTGAATCTGAAACACACAATAGCTTAGCTGCAGCAGTAACAACTTAAGTTCAGCTGCTTTTTGGGCTGATAGCGTAGTCCTAACTGAGAAGCTTATTATCATCGTTATCGTTCTTGGCTAGTCGCCGTTCTCTGTTCATCATAATCATGTTAGCGGTTTTGTTTGCCATCGTGTCTCAGACTAAACACTGCAATCAAAATACCATCCAACATATGCGCTTGCATGCACCCATTATAAACTTAAATCTATGGAATTTGGCAATGTCATGAAGTTGTTTAACTATATAACGCACCTTCAGAAATTTATCTGTGGATCTGAGCAGACTCCCTTGACATAATGCATTCAGAGGATGGATCATGAAATTAAAGCACTTCAACCATTTCAATTCAAAGTGCATTAAATAATTTGTGGGTCGATACAAATCATGCAGCCGTGCACAATGTGAAAAAACACTGTGCAGTTTTCTAGAAGTCATCAGATCGAAATATCTAGATGAGAATGTATCTTTAACTCACGTACCATTTGAAAATAGACTTTAATGTACTGCTGACTTTTACCTCTTCACATTTTACCTCTTTTATGGGCTCCTCAAAAAAAATTCATGGTCAACTAGAGGAGCCCTACAAAAGCCGAGGCGAATTGTTAGCTATATCATCGAGAACTTTCAGCAGTCAACTTCGTGATTCGGGAACTAAATATTCTTTGAATTTTGTCATGCTTAACCAATGAATCATCACACCTAAAGATAACGTAAGATTATCACAGATCAAATTCAAATCTGATCTATGTGAAAATTCTATCGAATAATTTTAAATACTATTTATATGTTCTCAAAACATAGTATCTCTCATATCCATTTTACAGAACATAATTTCAGCTTCATAAAAGTTTATGCGCTATTCAGTGAAAGTGTCAATTTCTTTAGATGTATTGTTATAAACAATTCCCGCTGTTATTAATACGCTCCGCTACTACGTGGCCTATTTGGCTATTTTCTGATCCAGCAATCCACATCAAAAGTCACCTTTCCTCCCATGAATGGTGCATTAATTCTCTGCGATAAATTAGACGAATGATCTTTATTAAAGGAAGCAATTTCTTGTGAACAAACCAACTTCTCGGTACATCTATGAAGCAATCATGTTCTTGATGAGTCTTTATTCAAGAACTGTTCATTCACTTGTCTTTTCATGCGCAGACTATCAGAACTTCAACGTTCACATTCCATCTTTAAGCAACCAGTTTATGCATGTTCAATCAGCAATATATCAAATTTACATGATTGTTGCAATGCAATTTGACCAAAAATTTCCAAATTTCATAGCTCTGCTGTAATTAAATATTCTTATTTGAAATAAAGAACTCGAACTTTAGTGAATACTTTATACTAATCGTTTATTTCTTTCAGACAAACTGTGGTCTTTGTTTACTGTTTAAAAAGCATGCGTGTTTGCTGGCCAACTGAAACTGCGATAATGAATGTGTAAAATGCCATAATATAAAATAATGCTTATATAGTTTGCTGCGATAAACGCAGTAAGCTGTATAAATATCTATATGTTCAACAGCATGCGATTGGGAATATTTGACGAAGATTAATCTTAAGAGTAATTGATGTATATGATATTGACATAATATGAGATGTTGTTGTTTCAGGCGGTAGCCAGCGTGCCAGCCAGTCGGCTATTGTTTTGTTAAATGACCGATCACAATGGGAATTGATGCCGCATAGAAGTTATGCAAATAATCGAAAAAATGAATAATTTGTGTTGTTGACGAAATTAATACAACAATATTGAAATGAGACGAAATGAATATTTCCGTGTTCAGTCAGTCGGCTGACTAATCTTTCACTTGCCACTTCAACATAAATCTCGGAAACAACTGAATGGTAACAAGCAGTAGAATCGAGATTAACTAGCTCATGATTATTGATTTACTAATTGCCACAGAGTCAATAAATTCGATAATTACGATCCAATAACTGTGATAACACTGCACTAGTAATGATAATAAGGGCAGTGATAACGATGACAATCAAGCGATGGATTGCAGTGATGACTTGGCAGTGGATTATAGATCGTCTAGTTTGTTGCTGTACGATGTCTGTTTGTTCGTTTGATTGTTTGCTCAGTTACTCGATGTTGTTGGCAAATAACCTTTTCCTTCTTGCTCTCTTTTCATTTCCCTTGCAATTCGTACCTTCGTAGGTCAACTGCTGCCTTCCTTCTAAACTCCAGTCCTTCCTTCATGAGCATTATAACAGCTTCTATCCCACCGAAAATGCCGGATTTTTTCGACCGACTGTCGGACGGATGCCTTCACTACCAAGTAGTCGTATCATGATCATATACCACCTACGTATCATCTGTTCATTTACCACAATTTGATCTATCTCACCATCACTAAATTGTAATCGGATTTTGATAATTGAACAGTCTTCCTTCTATGGCAAAATGCTCTCTCTAACCTCGCAAGTATGAGTGGAAGTATTTCACTTACGTTTCTTCTGTTCATTTCTTCTTGAACGATACTGCTTTATTCAAATGAATGCTTTATTTAATAATACTAATGTGATGAGTAATCATGCATCAAATGAATAATATGACGCATGCATATCACCTACATAACATACTCAAACTAATCCATCTCAGATCTAAACGTTATAGTACGCTACCCAGTACTAATCAAATAGTATAATCAACAAACTAAAAATATATTAAATCAAAATAGAATACTCACAATCAGTCTAAAAGGTAGGAAGGTGACGATAAACACCCAACTTCTTTGGTTTTTTTATTACTGCTTTTCGTTGCTGTGCCATCGACAGTGCAGCCAACCTAACGACAATCTCATAGCATATCATCATCAGTCTAGTACGTTCTTATCATCCTCTACTAAAGTGTTTTTATACATGAGCTTGCAATAAGCAACTAGTTAGTACCTGGCGGTTCGTAACAGCGATCATTTGGACATGATTCATTCGTTTACTCCTCTTCACATACCACGCATACGTACATTTTGATCAGACGCACAAACAGCAAGGAATAGACCAATACATACATCGATTATATGTGTAAGCTTATTCGAAACAATCAAGCATGACACGTTTAGCTAATCGCAGCAATAGCGACAACCCACAGGCGAGCAGCCAACTATAGATGATAAGTTGTACTGGTTATTAACATGCTTCTTGAGCATTTATTCAGTGTGATGACTGGCCGTTCTTCATTTGGCAATTTTGATGAGTGTCTTCCTTGGTCATGTAGAACAGAGACATCCGAAGACATTCACTATTTTTGCTTCATGCTTACTTGTCTCATCAAGCCCCCCTCTCTCTCAGTCGTACACTTTCGATTTTACGCTTTTTCGCTTTTGGGTTAACCCCAACGCTTTTATGGCATCACTTATCTCGTTTAGTTAGGCAAGCAAGCAAGCTCGACGCTTAAACTCATCGAACCTAGTTGTCATTTGGCTCTACCAATCCGCTTTACTAGACTTTGGGCTCCTCTTTAGTCATTCATTTACTATACTCGTGCCTTTACTGCCACTACAGCATAACTTTTATCAACATTTTTGTGGTTGACTGTTCCAGATTCATTTCTTGATTTATCCACATCATTAGTCCTAAACTCATCCGACGAACACTACTGGAAACTTTTCCCATGTGCACAAGTAGTCTTTATTCAATGAACTCTTTGCTCACTCAGCTCAATGTTAATCAACAGCGATTCGCGTGATTTTCATTTGATATTGATGATGAATCTTGCTTAGCAACCGATCCATCGAGACATTGCAACTTGCTAGCCACTGAACCACAAAATTACTTCTTCTACTCAGAGCCTCTCTGACTATTTGTTACATTATTACAACTTCGTTCCTTCTTCTCCTTAAGCCGCAACATTATTCCGAGAAATTCTTTCAAGTTGGGACTAACTCAATTCCACTTCAGTCTCTTATTATCACCTTCGTTATCTTCAACACTACATTCACACGCTTAACTATCGTTAACTTTTCACTTATTGCTCTACAATCGACCCAATTCATTAATCGCCATCGTTTTGCATAATTAAGCAACAGTAACAGCATGTGATGATATTCAAGTGGATGGTTGGGTGAATCACTGGACCGATGAATAGTAAATAATGATGAATTTCCGAATGAGCATGTCCAATTCAACGCTCAATGTTTTTCTAATTTCTCAACCGATTATACTTTTCACAAAAAAAATTTTTTCAAGCACTGAATGTGGTTATCGCCACTGGCTTTAAGATTGTGATTGAAGCGTGGCTCAAAGCTTTGAATGTCATCGTTAAGAAGTCGAAAATTTTGTGAGATCATAATTTTGTCGAAGATGAAATGTTGACACGGAGCAATATGAGATGCTCTGATCGTGAGATAGATATATTTTGCAGAGAACAGCTGGCTGGGTGATTGCTACCGCTATAGTGTTGTTGCCTTCTTCGATTTTTGCTCATCGCCATCATCATCGTTAGCGATCGCGTTCGATAAGTGGATATGTTGGATGGTGGCCGATCGGTACGATCGTTACTGATCCGCAATCATGAGACCACCGGTGGTGGACGAACTTCGAGCTGCGGCTTGGATAATATTAGTCTACCGAAGTGTGTGCAATTCGATGAGTCTAGCGATGATTACCGATGCTTTTGCAGTTGCTTTCACATCAAAACTGCGGCACTTCTCGTCGCTGGTATGCTATTCAAATCGAAAAACTTTCAGCACCATGAATTAATTGCCTCATTTCATATATGCACACACAGCTGTGATCGTTAAATCAGCGATCGATATGAGGTTATTTCATGAAGACAGTTGGATGATTTCGTGTCTCTTTGCTATCACGAATTATGTAAAAGAAAAGAAGAGTTTCAACAAATAAAGAATGCCCTGATAGTTCTGATATTATAATCGTTATTATTGGTGATCTGGAACAGATTTTTGGAGTCATAAAGTTCCTTATGAGTTGTAACTGTTGACTGAATGAATGAGTATATGAAGAAGTGTTTGATTACTGATTTTCTCGTTTACTAAAAATTTGAACCACTTCCGACGAAAAATTCCATTGTTGATGCGATTCATTTATTTCCTCTGTTATTAAAGCAGTTGCAAGTTTAATCTGATTTCAATAGATTAGTGATTATGTTTCAGTGATCGAAATCATTATGCTGGTCTTTTATTTCGTTAATTCATTGCTGGTATTCACAATGCAAGACAGCACGTATCGTAAAGCCACAGGTGAGTAGGATAGCTCATTTGATTTCAGTTATCATCATTAGTTTTCAGCTCATTTTTCTTTCAATTCAGTGGGCCAATCATACAGTTTGCAATATTAAAATCATTGTTGATATTGCTATTGTGCCGTTCAACAACATTACTACAGGTTTGAATGACGACAGTATAGTGAAGACAACGTTCATCGCATCGACGATCGGCATTACTATAAGTGCCGTGGTTATTTTTCTACTTTTCATCGGTACTGCAAAAAATTCTGCCACACTTTTAGTACCTCATATTGTTGCACAAGTTGGTTTCAGTTTGTTTCCTTCCCTCCCCCCTCCATTCTACTTCCACAATCGCTAGTTAGATTCATATATA